AGTGCCCAGAACAGGGGAGGACTACAGAAACAATCAGAGGTAGGTATGTCTCCTCTAGAGCACCCTTCCACCAGAAGCTGTGGCCCTACCAACAGTACAAATCCCTGTGATTTCACACCACTACTCTTCTGGAGGAAGAAAACCAGCTGGCAGCAAGGGTGGACCCAACTGGTAAACCTGAGCTTGCCCAATACCCTTCTGTACCAAGCGTGGGGCTGGAAGGAATCTTCTGCCATATGGAGTTCAGCTCAGTAACCATGGCATCTCCTTCGAGTACTTCCAGAGATTAGGAAAATAACGGAAAGATTTGTCCTCAAACCTGAAAGAATCACCTCACTAAGATTATGGGCAGACTAAAATCCAGCCTAGTTTTTCTCCCACCAACACTGCCTTTATCTTACCTGTGAGCCCTGGGGTGTCATTTACAGAGAACAGTCACAACCCCCAGCCCTTCTTCCACCTGCCCGAGCAAGCCAAGCTCATTGGGTGCCTTCCTTTCATTTCCACCTGTCTTCAGGAGATAAACCAGGATTGTACACGATACCCCAGAGGAGCTTTCCTAAGCGTTGGGTATGATGGCATCGACATTTCTTCATCTAGCTGGAAGTACAGTGCCCAGCGCTGCAGGAGAGGGTCTAAATCCTTGCCCACTCCTGGGGTTAAGCCCAGGCAGCCATGGCACTAGCACGGTTAATGCCCAGCTTCCACATCTGAGGCAGAGCCCTAGGCTCTGCCTATAATCTGTAATAAGGAAAGAAATAAGCACTTTCAGGATGTAATAAATTAGATCAGTTTTCAACATCTAATTTAGGTTTAAATTAATTATACGCTAGAAAAGCTTATTTCTCTCTAAAGGATTCTGGACAGCGAGCTCAGGCAGTGATACCCATAACCACTGATGAATCCTGCACCTTGTGATTGACTAGTCAGGCACGTCTTTCTCTGAGAAACCCATTGCATCCATTCTTCTATTTTATTAATTTACCTAATTCTCCTTTCCATCATGACATTCTACACCTTGAATGCACAAGGCAGTATCAAGAAGTCTGCAGCTGCCTAGATCTCCTATTCATCTTTTTCTTTTAGAAATCAGTTCAGTTTTGTCAGTCACATAGTATCATCTTACATTTTAAAAGCTTATTCAGATCTTGCTAAGCCATAGTTTCATATGCTACGTGTCAGACAAATTATATCTGTTCCCCCAAAGTGTGCTGATGAGGAAAAGCTCCTCCCAGCTCCCATGGGCAGATTTTATTTCCATCATCCCACACCTTCTGTTCCAAACCACCTTAGTGAAAACTAATTGTCCATCCAGAATCAGAAAACACCTTGACTTCTCCCTCACCATCATCTCCAGCTGGAAACAAACAGAAGTCAGCATGACATGTGTCAGTCCTTCTCTCACTCCCCTTTCCTGATGTAAACTCCTTGGCTGATAGATGTTTTTCCCCATCTTACAAGTCCCTTTGCTGCCCTTTTTAGGTTAGGCCTGCAGCCTTCATCCATGCAAACTGCTTCCCTTTCAGCAGGGGAAACTTTCAGGTGATTTCTGGGGCTTTGATGAAAGTTCAGACCTCCTATACACTACTGTCCTCAACATTTCCCTTCCCGACGACTTCAGACACTAGTTCCCCTTAATATGTTACAGTAATTCTCTCCCCAGCCCTTTTGCAGCAAAACCAAACAATTTCTCTACTACTATCAGCAGGCCCTTGGATGAGTTTTGGGGAGTGTTTTTTGTTTGGCCTGGTTGTGGGTTGTTTGTTCTTACATACACACATGCACATTTTATTTACTGTTTACTAAAAGCAAGACCAGAAATAGCATTTGCTCTTCTTAGTGGGCGGGCGGATAAACCAGAGCCCAGTTTAGAGGGGAATGAGGTAACAGGTTTGATACCCAGTTCTCTCTCAAACATCACACTGTCTCTTTTAGACTAGAAGTTGATTTATGCAATAAAATCCATGCTTATACCGTTATTTCATAAAACGGATACTTGGGGATTAGATTAAGATCTCAGCACACAAACAGCACCAACACTGAACTGTCCCTTTCAGCCCGAACTCCAGCTCCTATCCTAAGGGAGAAGTGCTCAGAGCTGCTGTGCTGTTCATACTCCACAGCTTGCAGAGGTGGGAAAGGCCTGGAAGACACATACATGTGTTCTGGAAAATTTCCCCACATACACACACTCTCAACTCTTAGTTAAGATTCAAAGCTTAATTAAGGTCAGACCTTAAAAGTCTAAACCACAGCATTTGCTGGAATGCTGATGCCTTAAGACTTCATTGCTGGAAGTTATCAGATGCTAATCTGTTTACATAGGAAAGAGCTTATCAGAATACTAAATACAGCCTTTTAACTCCATTCAGCATTAATTCAACACTGCATTCCCATTTACAAATACATACACCATTACTAGGCAGATATGTAGCACCTGTGTTTTTAAAACCCAGTGGCATTACCAAACTACTTTACCTTTGCTTCTAGACTCCTCAGGAGATTCTTCAGGTATGTATTTGGGCAGAGAAAGTTCCCATTTTCTCACCTGCTTATGCTCTCTGAGTGAAAGGAGGGGAAGTTCCTTCTTTTTTATTTCTCTTTGGGGTTGTAGGGGCACATGGGCAGGAAGGGCTGGTTTGTATTGAAGGTTATGAGAGTCAAACTCTGCTAAAAGAGCAGATCACTACCTTACAATGCTAGTACCATATTCTCTACCACCAGGAAAATTACAAAAATGCTTTCTAGTAAGGCAACACTCTCAACTCCTAAAAGTGCTTCCAAAACCCCAAGCCTGTCTCCCTCCCACCCTCCCAGCTTTGCAATATAGAAAGGCACGACTAAATCCTGCCCTCCATACACTATAGCATTGGAAATGACCACAGTATCCTGCTGTCTTGCTTGTTAGTTCTGCTTTAACACATGGGAGCAAAGCAGAAAACTCCTTGTCACTTGTCCTGTGCCACCACCACCCACCCAGAGTCACAGAGCATTGCTGGCACCCTTCCCGTTGAATGTAAGGACACCGCACAAAGAAGCTTCCCCCAAACTGCCCTGGAATGTCTTGTCTGTGCTTCTGCATTTAGCTGCGCTCAGCATGTGACAACAGAAAATATTACCTTCCTGCAAATCCCAAGGTTCAACCTCAGTGCAAAATTTCTTGCCATTCTGAGCATCTGGGATAGCAACATCTGCACGCTGATAAGCTTCAAGGGTAAGAGTTGCCTTTTCCTGTATGTTTTTAATGCATTCCCTTCGCTGCAGGACAAAGATGACAATCTTGGTAAGTTGTACAGCCAAGTGCTAGTTCTTTGGAGGCAGAAGTTTAATCTCCAGGTCCTCATTACAATAGCAATGACACCGTCAGCTAGTCTCCATCCATTCCCTACAAGTGAGACTCTACCCCCTCAAGACCAGCCGGCACCCCAAGTCCCACCGCGTCCCCCACACAAGAGCTGTTACCTGAAGGCAACACCATGCCACATGGCTGCGTGGCCCAGGGAACGAATATGCTGCACCATCAAAAAAGGAGCAGATGTCTCTGCAGGGCCGCTGGCATGAACTGCACCAGGCAGCTCCCGCCAGGAGCAGTGTCCTAAAGGCTGCTCCAGCGTCCCAAGAGCACAGGGCTCCGCCTGCTGGCTCCAGCCCCAAGGCTGCCTACATGCGGACAACGCAACACAGAAAGGGGCAAACTCCGGCCGGTTCTCTGGGCCAAAATTTGAAAGGGAGGGGATCAATTACATTTCAGAATCACATTTTACAGCAATAACACTTTACTACATATTTTATTACATCAATGGCTTGAAAAAATTTTATTTGATGTCAGCAAACATTGGAAATAATAGAAAAATGAATTATGTAGAATTTCACAAAGGAATTTACCCCACTATAACTCCTCATACAGTAAAATAATTCAAAACCAAATGTTACTTTTCAGTGGCTAAGCAATTTTATAATGCTATGAACATTCATCACAGTAAGTGTGCTGAATAATAGAAAACAGGCAAAAAAGACATTTAAAATATTACTTACAACAGCATTATGACAACATACTTTCTTTAAAATCCCAACAAGTATTTTATCACTTCAAAAGCTATACAGCATTTCCATTATATTTGCAAACTTAACCTTATACATCTTTTAAAATCTTGAAAAAACTTCTTTTAAGCAATCTATAAGCAGTTAACAAAATTGATAAAATCTACATAATGGAATACTATACACTCCAGTATAAATTTTATTTTAGGAGAATATGAATGTAAACACTCATTATTATACAACATGCATAGACTATACTGACCTTCCATTTTCTGAACTGTAACTTTCACTGCAATTGTGCTTTACTATCAACAGGAAAAGCTGCATTAATCCAGGGAGTGGCAGAAAGTATTCGCTTTAGGGGCATTGCACAAGATCACTAGAGATTTTGACTTGCTGGAGACAAGCTGGAGCTAATAAAAATAAGTTTTCTTCTTCTTGTAAAGAGTAAATATCAGGCCACTCATCACTAGATGGGCTATGCATAACTTTATACAGATCTGAAGAAACGCGTTTTCAGAAACATTTCCTACAATATTTTTGCGCTTCCATTGACTTGGAGGTTTATGTCTGCAAATCCAGTGATCAAGTTAGTGTAATGCACTGTTTGGCTCATATTTGGTGTGCAAGAATACCAACAGAATGTTAGCAATTTAGAGAATAAAAACTGAACTTTAAAGTGACAATGAGCATATTTTAATACATAACGTTTCAGATGTATTTGTACAGGAAAGAAAAATGTTTGTCAGGACACTGCTTTAAGAGAGTAAGAGTTTCACTCTTATATTAACTATTAAAAAAGTGTTCTAGTGGATATTTATGGGGTCTTCCTGGTTGCGAACTTGTAAAAATATATTAAGAATTCATTATCCCCATTGGTATTAAATATATCAAGACAACCATTGTGGTCGTACTACCAGTTATGGCTACTATGGTCTTAAGCATCTGATTGTACATTGTTGCTATATTGTTAAGCACAACTGAGGCATGGTTTTTTTTTTTCCCCTTGGTTAAAAGATTATATTACAAAAATTGATCACTGTTTCAAACCAGTTAAACACGAATATTCAAGTAACAAGGTTGTTTTATTGGATAAGCGAAAAAAGAAGTTACCTAGCACTTTACACAACTACATAAAAATTAAATAGAACAAATGAAATTTGTTTATGCATATGCAATACACTTTTATATCTTTCAGATTCCTAAAACTAAAACTTAAACTATCATTTTCTTTAACGATACCATATTTTGCACAATAACTTATACTTAGGAGAAATAATTTCCCATTTTCCACAAAATATATATAATTATGACATTCACATTGATAGTTTAAGAAACAAAATTTAAGTGAATATTCTATCTTATGCAGTTATCTTTGTGGACCCTTCTAATCAGAATGCAACCAGTTAATGTATCTAATGCTTGACCCATTTAAGAAGAAAAAGAGGGTCTTCACCTAAACCATTTAAACTTTCAAAAGCTAAAATGTTTATCGCACTTAAAAATATAGTTAAAGAGAATGTAAAAAAACTAAACGTTTAAGATACAGTGCTATTATATTGTATGTATCAACTACAATAAGATAGCAGTCAACTGAAAAGTAATTAAACAACTTTTTTCTTCCTAATATCATGAATTATACATGTTTTCCCCCTACCCCTTGGGGATGAAGCCAAAACACAACTTTTCTGATCATAAGATGGACAGATTTGAGGGCAAAATCCGATGAAAAGTCCTCACAGGTAACTTCCCTCGCCAGTAGAAGCCTGTCTTGATGAGATTCACCAGCCTGGATGCAAATTCACAGAACCCTCACACTGGCGAGGACCCATCTCCGTGCATTGGTACTGTGCAGAAGGTTTAATACTAGAGTATTTCTAATAAGTGGCATTGCTTTACACCAGAACTGTCAGGTGAATTCACAGTGCTATTTGCCCGGTCTTTAATCCATTCACACTGGCTAACAACTAGTGTCCTTTCCCACAAGAAACTCCCAACTCCAACTGTCACAGGACTGAAGAAATATCCGCGGGGCCCACAAAGCTGCCAGTTCACATCAACAGCTTTAGAGATGTTGACACAAACTTGGGATTACAGGTTCCCCATACCGAGGATCCCTTCCATCCTACCATCACCTCAAAGGATCAGTCTGGGGCTACCAGAATGAAACTACTCAGAAACAGCCACAAAGTGGCTGAAACAGGCCCTTTTTGGGTTCATAAGAAATGCCTATCTGCTCCTTCGCCTACTTGTTGTTGCTTGATTTCTGATGTTGAATTACTTTCCACACACAAGGCCTAAGGAGACCACCTCAGGAGTACATGGGGCTACCTCCCCTGCCTTTCTTGGGTTGTGTCTACCCTGCAGGCAGTGCAGCCACAGCTGGCTATTAGCCAGCTGGCATTAGTCTACCCCACTTCGATATAAAAAAAAGAGCAGTCACAGCACACAACATGGCACAGCCCAGCAGCTCAAAAATCAGCACCAAGTTCAGGGCTAGACTCCAACCTGCAGCACCTCAGCTGCAGGCCAGGATGTGGACTAGCTCATTTCAGGTTGTGTTAGAAGGCTGGTGCCACACGTTGCTCTGTGCCATCTTGGCTTAAACCCTACGTAGAGGAAGGGAGGCAAAGAAGGTCCTTTTTTTTCACCCGCAAAGACACATGGTGGTTTCTTCCAACATCACTACATTAACCATTTTTAAATGCTTTGTGACTAGTGTTATTTTGCAGCTTTCCACTGGACAAGACGTAATACTGCAGCTTCCAGCTTCTCTGAACACTGTCTGCTCAGCAGCCAGCAGCTAACTACCTTGTTCAAGGTGCTAAGTCCTCATACAGGACTTTGAAGAACAGCTCCAGTTCAAGTCAGCCAGATAGGCCACAGCACAGGTTATCTGAGCAGAGGGCTGGGGATTTGAAAGCTGCGTGCACCAAGTATTTGGAAAAGCACCTCTTAGATTTCAAATTGCATATTTTGGTTGAGAACATGAAAGCGATGTGTGCTTCAGAAGGGTTAAAATGGCCAATGAAATTAACCCAGTTCTTCTCCATTAAACTTCCAAGAGACCAAAAAGTACCTGAAGGTTGAATTTTGTGCTCCAACCCTTGTCCAGACTTCCAGTGGGAGAAGTAGTTTGATGTCTTTGGCAAACAGCGCTCTGAAGAGGAATGAGACACTGGGACAGAGAGTGACCTATGGTAGCCAAATGTAAAAAGGCACATATTCCAAAAGGAGAGGCACCAGAGAAAGTTGTTTTGACTTAATCCCACAGAGGATCAGGAAAAAGAAAGTTGTGTAGCACTCATTTAACAAGTTACAATGCAAATGCTGAATGCCAGGGGTTAAATAGCGTATCAAACAGTTTCAGGTTATTTATTCCCTTTTGCACTAAATAAAAGCCATTAAAATATACAGGAGTAAAATTCTCAATTAGGGAGCTTTCTATGAAGCAAGAACACACAAATACAGTGGAAAGAATTGCACAAACCAGAAGTTTAATGAGTTAACATCTACAGCCTTGGACTGATGAAACCTTAGAAATAACATTTCCTATCACTTTGCATTACTTAAGATTGCTTGTTAACGTGCCCTGTCATTTCAGAACAAACCTGACACCGTTGGTATGTGCACAGGCCTCTCCTTTACAGAAAGCTCACTAATAATAGTGTCATCGTAAGAATACACAGGAAGCGGAGACCACAAGGCCATGCAGCAATACATACTTATACCCTACGGACCAAATATTATAAGAATTCCTAATGTGTAGAGTCACTGTGGGGCTGCTAAGGAGATCCTTGTTTTGCAGGTTGGTCAAAATTAGTCCAATTGTCAAGAGACAGATGTTACTGGTTCTAGAAATCCCCGTGCTTAAGCAGGACGTTGATGAAATGGAAAGCTGAGCTACCTGGGTGCTTTTGATAGAAAGTGGAGGCAGTATGGAGGAATGAGGGGAGATTAAGGCAGATGTAGCACAGGACTGGAAGCGTTTGCCTTTTTTTGGTAATAGCTGCTTGTCCACAGATATGATGCAGATGGCTGTCTGAGGTTTGCTAATACCTGATATCCTGGATAACACAGTAGTCAACACAAATTGTTCTAGGCTACAGCACCTTCTCACGAAGCAGATGCATATCTGACATCAAGAACAGAAGTAGCCTGGAGGGAAGGGGGAGGGGGGAGAAAAAGGAGACGTTTAGTTTAAAAATGAATACACATAGGCTTTCTTGCATCTCCAAACTTCACCCCAGATCTGTGGTACTGAAAGCGACAAGACTGACAACTTTCGCGCACGGGAGGAATCACAGCAGCTTCCTCTATTCTGAACCACACCGGGATTTGTTGGGAATGTAAACACAGAAGAATTAAAACTGGAATTGAGGCTGCTTTATAATCAGCAGTCTCACCTCCCTCCCTCAAAAAGAAAAAAAAAAAACACAACAAAAAAAGGAACTGCAGTCACTCACTATGAAAACACACTGAAGGGGAAAGCCCAGAGCAGTCAGAGGGCTGACAAAGCTTTTTCTAGGCTGGCCGCCAGGTAGTCAAGGCATGCCGGGGGGAAAGCACCCAAGGGACTGCAGCGTTCAGCCAAAGTCTTCTCCTGGCTACTGCTGACTGAGTCCACCTGACTTGACCAGCTGCCTGTGCAAGTACTCTCAGAAGCAGGCACCAGCTGCATAATACTGCGCAGCTCGGGAGGGACCAGGATCCCCTCTCCTAGCCCATATGTATCACTTATGTGATAATCCAAATGACATTTCACTTTGCCCCCAGAACTGCTCAGACAGGCACCCAGTCAGCACTGTGCTTGTGTTACCCCTGAAGCCAGCCTGAGAGGCAATGTCTGATGTGCTCAGAGAGAATGGTGGCCATTAGATGTCCACTGTGCAACACCCCCGTGTCTCTTCCTCATGCATTTTTATAAAAAGCTGCAAGCTTGGTAGTTAAAATCCCCTCCATGCTGCCAGCACCTTCCTCCTCCCAGCCGTGACACATCAGTTCCTACTGTCCAGAAGAGGCATTATGAAGAACCACAAGCCACATGGTGCTAGTGTAAGGCATACATGGTGTGTCATGGCTGGCAGCTCACTGTCACCCTGCCTGGGTCAGCCTGGTGCAGGCAGGCTCTGCCCTCATCCCTTACTGTACTGCAGGGCACACTGAATTGCCCAACTGGCGATAGCTGCCTTTTCTCTAGGCTTTGTAACTAGTCCCACCAGCCTATTATTTTGGTCCCTCTTCCACTATTCAGCACTTTCTCATCTCCAGCCCGGGCACTTTCCATCACTAGTTTGGGGATCACAACTGCTGCTCCACCAGACATTTCACCAGACCATGCTGTTATGCCTACACTCTCCTTCCTCCTGTGCTAATTTGTCTGGGATCCTCATTGCTCCAGTATCCACACACTTGGCCACATCAGCACACTCCAGTTCCTGCTGCAACCCAACACTTTTTTCTTTCTATCTCGAGTGATACTCTTTTTTGATGGTAACCTCAGAAGCAAGGGTGCATTTAAAGCCCGGAAGAATCTCAGAGGGTTCAGAGCAAAGCTCTGCACTGCTAACAGATACCGCTCTACTGGTCACAGGAAAAGGCAGTGACAAGCCACCTGTCTTTCAAATGGGTGGCTATATACTAGTATCATTGCTTTTTTGTTCCACCTCTCAATTCTGGAAAATAGAGGACAATTTCACTCACACCCTTCTGAGAAGGCAAGTGCTTTGAGTTTGGTTTTGTTCATCTGTCATACCTTTGGACCTAGTCCCCATATATAAGCATCTTTGATTAACACATTATTAGGATTTGTGAAGCAATTAAGTTGTATGTTGACATTCAGAGAGTATAAGTGAGCCAACCATAATCAGGGCAACAAAAATATACAGTACACTGAGATGTCTTCAGTCCATGTGAGACCAAAATTTGCCTTATGCTATTGACTGTGCTTGCATTTAGAAGATTGGGCTTTTGTGCCAAGCCGTCTTATAAAATTAGGTCAAAGGGAGCCCTAGATCAGACATTTTTAACATGCAAACCCTAGTGGGGTTTTCTTCTGCAAGACTGTGTTAATATTACGTATTTGCACCTTTCATATTTAAACATTCTACAGTCTTAGATAACTTTAAACACACATTGTCTTTGGAGAAGTGTTATCTCCATGAAGCTCCATCAAGGAGAGGCTGTTTCTAGAATTTCTGTCTTCACAGAAACTGCTGTAAAATCAAGGAAACTTTGTCTCTAGGTAATTCCAGAGTGAACAGTTTCACACATTCGCCTTGTTTATAGCTGTCTTCCCCCGAGTGAAACCACTCCATCGTCAAAAATGAAAGAGTGAGCTTTGCCTCAGAAGACTGTATGGTCCCACAAAGCCAAACCTAGAACAGCTTGGAGAACTGAGTGCAGGGAAAACATCCAAGTGAGATACAGATGTTTCGGCAGCAAGAGGCATTAAAATGTCCATCTGCTGATGAGATACAGATACTGTCAGAGGGCTGCAAATTAACTGTTCTCTTTCCACTTTCATGTATGTCTGGAATTACCAGTTCCCAAAACCAGTACTGGAATCTGTATATCCAGAGGAAGTGAAATATGCTCAGAGTGAAGATTGTCAAAAATGGCTTTTGCAGAAAGTATACATATATACACATTTCTCTGAAACAAGATCAGATTGGGAATTTTATGTGACTTTTAAATTGGATTTACCTCATCTTCCTCTTCGGACATTTTAGTGGAATTGTCAGGGGATTTTACAGGCTTCTGGCTATTGGTTCCGTTTGTCTCCTCTTTGCCATGCTCTGCCTCCCACTCCTGTAGAACTTCATCTATGTTGAAACGACGTCGATAATTTACAAAAAAGTTTTTCACTTGCACCACAGATTTGTTTCCAATCACATCAGAGATCGCCTGAAAGTCTCGGCCATATTTCCTAATTGCTAAAAGCAACAAAAAGAAAACCAAAAGCAATCTGTTATTTCCACAAAGACCACAAATCAGGCTCAAGTCACAGCATAAGGAGCTGAAGCTGAACTTCTGTCAAGGTTTCAAGCCTTTCTCAGATTAATCCAGGGCGGGGTTGGGGGGGTGTGTGGAGTCTAAATTGGGCACAAGACACATTTAGGACTAGCCCTGGAGAACTGAGGTGTAATAAAGATGGGTAATGCCAAATCTAGAAGACCTGGGTAAATCTGCCTGTACTACTTGAGACATTATGCAGGCAGAGAGCATAGCAGTGCCCTCAGTAGTTTCACTTTCTGAAAGCTTGGACAAGCAGAGATTATTTGCAAACATTCATATGGTGCAATTTATACTGCCTGGGGAGGGGAAGGGGCAGTATGGTTTCCTTGTTCAATTCCATCCTTTGTGCATTAACACACAGCAATGTCAAAATCCTCCACCAGCCACTGAAGGGAAACACAGCTCTGAAATGCAGCAGAATTTTGATTATCACCAACTGAAGTACAAATAGACTTGTAATGCCATACCTTGCACAGCAAGAAGCTGCTCATCCGTGGTCCAACGCGCATTAAATTTCTGAACGACCTAGACACCCAAAAGAATTAGGCAACTCAATTTACATAAGCAACAACTTTCACTTGTATATGAGCTCATAAAAACCTCACAAAAAGCACAACAAGAAATTAACTGCTAGTCAAACTGTGTCTTTCCTTTTAGTAGCAATGATGTTTTTGATATAAAGAACTGTGTATGGCATCCATCCAGTTAACTGTGACATACACTATGCCTGTAAGTCACGGTAATACAAAAAGATAGAGAATGGTCTGAGCAGATAACCAAGAGCCACACTCTTCCAAAGCACCTACTTGTTTTTATCACAGACACCCTCTGTAATCTTGGTCAAATTATTTCCAACACGAGGTGCCAGAGCTGGAAAGAAAACAGCAAAAGCACCAAGCGCCAAGAGAAAGATGGGCCATTAACATGTTAAACACTGCTCGTTCTTCTCATCTCCCACTTCCATTACACAACAGCAGCAAGTATAGTATGGTCTGGATTCACACTGACAACTAATAGAACATTGGTCCCAGTTTACTGGCAACACCAATAGCCGTGGTACATAAACACAGATTAGCACTGAGCTCCATGATAAAGGTCAGAAAATGATCCTACCTCTGGAAGTCTGTATTGTTCTATATCACCTTCAAGTTTTTCTTTGAGCGCACTGTTTGTCTGTTTGATATTCTGAATCTGAAAAAAAAAAAAAAAACACAAAAAAAACCCGTGTCATCCCTTTAACAAGGATTAAGAAAATATCTTTGCCTTCTTCCAGCAGCCCCAGCAGGAGCCCCACAAGTTCAGCATTCCACTTTTCCTCACAACCTCCCTTTTCCAAAAAGAAATTGTTATATTGGAATAAAGGAATGCAGGAGCAGCTGGCACACCAGGGGATCCCATTTAATTTACTCTATCTATCCTATCTGCAAGTTATTTGGAGTAAGAACTGCCCCAACTTTCAGGGCTGTATAAAGCCTAGCATAAGAAGAAAGGCCCTGTTCACAACAAGTAATGAATCAGACTGCTAGAGAGCTCCACTTCTCCCAGAGTGCCAAGAAAAAGGCTTTAGGCCAAAATACCAATTCTATTAAGTTTAAAGAGCTTGAGCCAGATCTCTGCTTTAAAAACAGTGAAAACGTTCAGATCTAGGAAATAAACTTATGTAGTAAACCTGTCTTTACTAACAGATATTTGAAAAACATTTGTTTAAGTCAGATCCATGAGGGAAGCAAAAGATAAGTAGGAAAGCTTGTATGATGTCTAAGAATAAAACAAATGTATCTGCCTGTTCCAAAAGTATCATAGGAAAAAGCAAAGGAATCTGACTGCTGCAGATGGAAATCGATACTGCTGAAACCAATGTCATCTGAGGGAAGTTCATAGTTAAAACATAAGAAACTCTGAACTGCAAGAAACACGAAGCACCAATAAACATTCCTTCAAGTCAGTGCAATGGACTTTCCTGCTTTAATTTAGGTATAAAGTAGGCTCACCCACAGAACTAAAACATAAGAGGTGTAAAACACAGAGCTTCATTAGTCCATAGCATAAGCGTAGCAGCTTGTCAATTAAGCCACATAATGATGTGCATCATCACTGTCAAGCTACAAATTCCTGTGAACTTTGCAGACTGTGACAGGCACTACTACCAAAAACAGCAGTTATTCTTCAACTATCCCATTCATACCTGTCGTTTGATTGAGACTAATTCCATGTCCAGTTGTCTGAGTACAGTGGTAGCAGCTGTTGCATTGGCAGAAACAGCCTCCACATCTTCTTGGGAGAGGAACATTCCTTTAGGAGGTTTCCTCTTTGCTCTGTTCTTGGCCTGCGTACTGTGCTTCTCCTTCTTCACCTGAGGAACAGTTTCAGCAGGCGGCACCTGGGAAACAGCAGTCATTTTAGAAAACTAGATTATCTTTAGATGTCCCTTCCAACCCAAACCAATCTGCAATTCTATGACTTTAGCCATCCTTGAAGGTTGGAGAATGGCATGTCATACAGACACTGTCACATAACTCTCTCTTCTAGGCAGCTTTCAGTGTTTACAGAGATACTGGTTGTCTTCTCAGCCCATTCACAATTTGGAAAACAAAAGCCCAATTTTCCAGCAGTTAAATATTCGTTATTTTCAAACACTCCAAAACACTTTTTTTTTTTTTCCCATCACCAGACCTGAACATGCCAACTTAACTGAGCACCAGAAGGAAACAAAGTGGAGTTTGGAGACAGCATAACACCACAACTAGAACAGTTTACACAGACTTGTTTTTCTACATGTCAGACAGGAGAAGGAATAAACCAAATTTATTTAAAGACTAAAGATAAAGGAGTGAGGTGACTACAAAGTAATTCTTAGATCGTTATGCAGTTTCTTGGAAGCCGTTTTCTTGCACAGCACTGATATATCAACTTTTCCATTAAACTGATGCAGTTTTGACCACAAATAAAATTTAAATCTCTTTTAGAAAAGGTAATCTTTCACATACAATTGTTTTTATGACTTCTGTCTAAAGCAAAGAATTAGGCACATCCCTCTAACAGGTAGATTAGCTAGGACTACTAGGACACTATACTATAGATCCTTCAAGAGCACATCTGATTCTCTAATACTAAATCCATTTCTTCCAGAAGTTATTTTCAACAAGCAACTCATACCCAAGATTTATTACCCAGTGGCTAGAGCCTGGCCGAGAACACAGAACAGAGGGATGGCAGGGAGAGAAAAAGGAGAGAAGGGAGGCCACACATCTGAAATCCTTGATCATTGCCAGCTTTAAACACATTGGCTTCACTTAGCTCTATTGTTTCCCTCCTAATTTGCAGCTACATGTAGTTTCTACACAGTCTGTGGCATTTTCTCATTAATGAGCATTAAAATGCTTGCATTCAAACCCACATAAGGCTGAGCACAAAGCCTGACCTAAGCGTAACGTTCTGCCTCCTGCAGACTGGAGGACCCTACCCTCTTATGAGCTCAATGGCCAGAGCCACGTTAGAGCAATAATGCAGACAATTCCCTGTTCTCAACTTTTTTCTTCCCTCCTTTAATGCAAAGGAGTCCATGAGAGACAAAGCCTAAGGCAAGCCCAGTAGCAAGTGATAACTACTGCTGTTGCAGGATGGATACCCTGTTTCTTTCTGCAGAAAGGAGTAGGGAGAAGAAGAAACCAGACTGGTTTAGCTATGAACAAGCGAGGTAAGCTCTGTACTCCAGAAGCAAGTGCATGGATAACTGAGACAGGTAAATTATTCAACATGGATAGATATTTCAGATTCATTTATATTTCATCTACATACAGAATTTCACAGGATCATGCAGTAATACATCACAACAGGTTCAGGCTGTAGACTGACCAACACACAATGCCTGCAGTGCAGATTTCTAAGAAGCCTCAACATTAAGGAAAATGAAAGCAATTTCAAATTACTGTTTTACGCAGTTGAAAGAATATGAAGCTCTCCTGTGTTGTGGACAAGAAGCCAGAGCTCCAGCAGAATGGCTTTTGACAGCTCCAAATGCTTCTAGGCCCCAGTGATATTGTGTAGGGTCTGGCAACTTGAACGTCTAACATATCTTGGAAACTCTTGCTTTCCTGGCCACACACATCTCTCTAGATTTAAATGAATTCATAAAAACCTGAGGGAATTAAAATGCAGGGATTTAGTAGTGTTTCTCTTCATTTAGATGCTGCCACTGCTATCCAGTGCATTTCAGTCTTACAAACCTATTAATGCAAACAAGGTTCCCTTCGTCAGATTTCAGAGTGTAAAAAGAAAAGATCAAGCTATTTCAAGTCATATAAAAGCAGAGGATGAATTAGGAAGGATTTTCCAGGAACAGGGAAGAAGCTCTAGTTCATGACCTCAGTATTACGGAGTCTCCATCTGAGGAAACCTGAACAGTTGCACTAACACTGAAAGTACTAAAAAAAAAAAAAAAAAAAGGAAGATTCCCCCTCCAATGATCCCCAAAAGAGGAAACAGATGAGAGATTTCAGATATGCTGAGAAGTCCCAGTATTACTCCGCAAGTCATACAGTAACTGACATGTCTCAGAGCTGGAAAAACCACCTCTGTGGGGTTAGGACAGGGAGTTTCTTTACGGTAAGAGTCACGGGCTAGTGGCACATCACTATGTAGTGACATATCACTATAAGAAACATAACTATCAAGAAAGAACATATGCCCTTCCTCCTGCATACCTGCTCTCTCTCAAGGCATTTTCAAACAACCCAGGCTCAGGTACTGCAAAATCAAATCAAATTAACTCTGAATAGACTATGTGGGTTGTCAGCTTCATTTTACCACCAGTACAATCCTTGTCCAGAAGAACCTCCACAAGGCTGCCAGCCATTGCATACATGGTCAGACTGCACATGCTCCACAAGTTTTGGTGATCTCTGTCAGATCAGTTAGCATGCTGTGGCCTGTATTAGTGACAGGGAGGGCAGACAACCTCCTCCCATACATGACTTTCTACAAAAATGTCTTGCTCTGGTTTGGCCTTCCAACAGAGGCAGCCAACCTGGCAAAGAACTACCTTCCTTTCTTCTTCAGCAAGGTCAGAGCACATCAGCACGGTAGGGAAGGAAGCAGTAATAAAGGAGATTGAAGGAAGCTCTCTTACAGATGCAAGCTTTCAAAGAGCTTACAGAGAAATCAAAACTTTCAAGAGATGAGATTATGATAGTAATTATTTACAAGACACTGGAGAGCTGCAGTATGCAGCTGCAACTTAGCCCAATAAGAATCCTTACAGTTTGGGTCTTACTGAGGCTTCCGAGAACTCAGCTTCTTGCAAGGGTGAACATAAGTGGCTTCACATCCACTCTGCTCCTAGGAAGTCATCAGGGATGCTTTCCTTTGGTGGAAGTAACAGCTAAGCTTGTCTGAAAAGTCTGAAAAGCACCCTGGCATGGGTGAAGAACAGACTAGAATGCTGTAATTTTTCAGTTATTTCCATTCAAAATAATTTATTAGAGGAATTAATCCCACCGACAGTGACTGACAACGCAGCTGCTATGGGCTTTTGTTTTTGCCTGCGTACAATCCTGGTTTTGAATAATTCTAGTGTTTTTTCCTACGTATATGCTTTATCAAAAAAAAAGTTAAACAAATTGAAAGAGAATAACTATGGGAGAAAAATCAGGCTATGAGAAAATAGGAAAAGGGGGCTACTTCAAGGAGAAAAGGCCTTAAGGTATATGTCTTCCTGCAGCACTCACACATACAACCCACACTGCTGCTGAACATCAAGGCTTTTTTATTTAGTAACAGATAACCAGCAGGTTATACACAAGAAAATAAGGTATACACTTTCCTGTTAAGCATCACAGACTAGGCTTTCAAAATTGTTGTACCTATGTGGCTCTATTGCCATCTAAAACTGTATGGCCACTTAATTTCAAGTGTTTGAAGTGAGGTACAAGTATTATGTTTTAATAAGACAAAATATTCTGTACATAACAACAGCTTAAGGACCCTCTGCCAGACAAAATGAACTGGCCACATAAAAGCTTTCTCCTATACTGTTCACCACTGTAGTTGCAATCCTGGTGCCACATCAAGATTTTACCTTAGAATCTAAGGTGTAAGTAAACATGCTCTTGCTAGTCTACCTAGAACAGACTAGAAGACTTATTTCCCCTCCACCAAGCTATGTCAGTAGGGACAGAAGTACTTCTACTCCAAGCAGTTAGGTTGATTTAAACCATCATTGAAGGTGGTTCAAGCTAACACAGCCAACCTTGAGTCAGAGATTAGAAACATTCACATAGTACATTATCATGGGATGGTAAAGTCTTAAATTTTCTAGTTCCATCCATTAACTTATTTGTCTATACTTGTCTTGATTTAAGAATAATTCTGAAGACAATTCTTCTTTTCTTGTATGACAACTATACAAAGCACAAATAAAGAAAATTAGATACTGTCAGCTTCCACATGAAGTAGCTAGTAAGTAAACACTTTCGTTTATACAACAGTAAGAAAAGAATTATACCTCCTTTTTACTCTCCTTGTTTTGTTCAACTTCAATATCAATGGGGTTATTTCCATTTGCTTCCTCCATTTCATCCTCACTGGAAGACAAAAGCAAACAGTACTGCATTAGTTTGTGAGGCTCTTTCTCTATAAATAGCAGGTTAAAAGAAATGCATGAATGCAACTGCTTTCCTTAGTTTTATTCCCAGTGTGATTTTTTAGGGGATTGGGGTGGGCTTTTTTTGTATTGGGTTTTTTGTTTATTTGTCTTTAAGTCAACAAATTCTTCATTGTAAAGATGCTAGGGACCACGAAAGAAAGGTATCTCAGTAGTACACTTAGGCAAAATAAGTCTGCTCAGCTGAATGCAAGATACATGAAATAGATTACACAAGTTATGTTTTAAAGAATGTAAGACATTGAGCATTCTAACTTTAGGCAAACCAAGACAGAAACAAAGACTTAGAATTACAGCAAATAACTAAAGCATGGATTTCACACAACGCCTTAACATTTAGCAAAATAGAATCCCTCAAGAACAAGCATTAAAAAAATGCTTGAGGTGTCGTTCCCCCCCCCCCCCC